GCTGAATCTGACCACTTACCCTCACAACAAGAATTATATCATGCCACGCTCGACTAGCGACCACTTACCCCATCTAGTGCCGAGGTCAAGAATGAGTAGGAGCTATACCCCCACTCCCCCCAAGCGCCTACATGGCGTATAGTGGGACAAACTTTACTTTACTCACGCCCGACTAGTACTCTCTTCACACATGATAGTCCATAGATTTGCACCTACAGATGATTATTTTTATTGCAGAGTGATGAAGACACGCTGAATTCTGAAGTATTAATTTGTTTAGAATTGATCTGTTAGTGAAAGATTCACCTGTAACGTCATGACCTAAAATGTCTTTTTTTTCTGCAGGTGCTAAATCCCAGCACGGAATCCACGGACCAGTGTTTCTGTTAGAACCTCCTCCGGTTCTCCGCTTCTCGAATGCCACCGGGTCGCAAGTCAGTTGCTCGGCCCACGGTTCCCCGGCCCCCGACGTCACCTGGCTTCATCATGACGGCTCTGTCGTCACTGCCGTCCCTGGATTTAGGTGAGTGACTGCCAATTTTCTTTAATGTTTGCATTTCTCTTGACAAAGAATCTTATCACAGGTTAAATTACGTTGACCCGAAATTCCCGTTGAGATATTTTGTTGCTTATTTAGGTCAGTGGTGTTTCATGCGATTTTAATTGAAGAGTCTCGATGTGCGAGGTGACATGGAAGCCTTTATAATCTCCAGGTTTATTATCGACGCCTGTCTTCTGCGTTGTAACACCGTGTGTACTTGTAGACAGACGCAAACACAATTATTTTTTTAGAAATCAGAACATTACCCGCATTCTACAGTGCGATTACTGATAAAGTTAAACGCAACTGTTTCTTCTTGGTTGCCGGTTGGAACTGCATGACTCAGCACTAAGTCCTACAAAGTTTTCGCTCTATGAAAACAATGAAATGAACTCTACTTTTTATAGCAGTTCCTGTTGCTAGCCGGAAAGTAACTGTTACGTTCAACTTTATCAGTGAACGCACTGTACTTCACTGCTATGGAACACAAAATATCCTCCCCTCAGCTCGCGATTCTGATATAATTTTCCCAGCAGAATGGAATTCAAAATCGGCGAGAATTGCAGGATTCATTTGGGGAACCGTTAATTATATATAGAGAGAAGTGAAATGTACAGTTTGTAGTGTTAGAGCTGTATCATGCTGAGGAACAAAGGACGAACAAAAGCCATTATTTGTGCAACAGCTGAATCTGACCACTTACCCTCACAACAAGAATTATATCATGCCACGCTCGACTAGCGACCACTTACCCCATCTAGTGCCGAGGTCAAGAATGAGTAGGAGCTATACCCCCACTCCCCCCAAGCGCCTACATGGCGTATAGTGGGACAAACTTTACTTTACTCACGCCCGACTAGTACTCTCTTCACACATGATAGTCCATAGATTTGCACCTACAGATGATTATTTTTATTGCAGAGTGATGAAGACACGCTGAATTCTGAAGTATTAATTTGTTTAGAATTGATCTGTTAGTGAAAGATTCACCTGTAACGTCATGACCTAAAATGTCTTTTTTTTCTGCAGGTGCTAAATCCCAGCACGGAATCCACGGACCAGTGTTTCTGTTAGAACCTCCTCCGGTTCTCCGCTTCTCGAATGCCACCGGGTCGCAAGTCAGTTGCTCGGCCCACGGTTCCCCGGCCCCCGACGTCACCTGGCTTCATCATGACGGCTCTGTCGTCACTGCCGTCCCTGGATTTAGGTGAGTGACTGCCAATTTTCTTTAATGTTTGCATTTCTCTTGACAAAGAATCTTATCACAGGTTAAATTACGTTGACCCGAAATTCCCGTTGAGATATTTTGTTGCTTATTTAGGTCAGTGGTGTTTCATGCGATTTTAATTGAAGAGTCTCGATGTGCGAGGTGACATGGAAGCCTTTATAATCTCCAGGTTTATTATCGACGCCTGTCTTCTGCGTTGTAACACCGTGTGTACTTGTAGACAGACGCAAACACAATTATTTTTTTAGAAATCAGAACATTACCCGCATTCTACAGTGCGATTACTGATAAAGTTAAACGCAACTGTTTCTTCTTGGTTGCCGGTTGGAACTGCATGACTCAGCACTAAGTCCTACAAAGTTTTCGCTCTATGAAAACAATGAAATGAACTCTACTTTTTATAGCAGTTCCTGTTGCTAGCCGGAAAGTAACTGTTACGTTCAACTTTATCAGTGAACGCACTGTACTTCACTGCTATGGAACACAAAATATCCTCCCCTCAGCTCGCGATTCTGATATAATTTTCCCAGCAGAATGGAATTCAAAATCGGCGAGAATTGCAGGATTCATTTGGGGAACCGTTAATTATATATAGAGAGAAGTGAAATGTACAGTTTGTAGTGTTAGAGCTGTATCATGCTGAGGAACAAAGGACGAACAAAAGCCATTATTTGTGCAACAGAAAGAGCATGGCGTGTCGGCATTTAGCCTTCGTGTGATTAATTGATCATGATTGAGACTGCACCTGTGTACGTTAACACACATACACACGTGCATTGTAGTTTCAACCCGTGTAGCTGTTTATAACGAAAGTGTAGCCGAATTTTTATTTTTGAGAAGCTAATAATCCCTGTTAGTCGAGAAATTCCCACCACTAGATCCAAACCATAAGGATCTGCTTCAAGCACCCACACAGTTTCCCTTTTAATATTATACTTCCATCTACGCTCTCGTTTCTCCGATGAGTGCTACATGCCTCGCCCATCTTCCTTGAAAGCACGACCGTAAAGGATGTATTCGTAGCATCCATGATGTAATCAGTCAGTTGTATATTGAATGTAGCACGCATGAGGGAAAGGAGAAAAGCTGGCTGTCTTCTGGGTTGTTGCGCCGTCTGGTAGAAGTTTACCGACGTTTCAGAGGTCCTTGATGCAGCCGTCATCAGGGCCATTGTCGATGTCTAGCAGTTTGGAAGGCGCAACATCCCAAAAGACAGATGTCTTCATCGAAATAGTAAACATGTTATATGTTATTTTGTATTTTGTAAAAGAAATGCATTGTGACTGAAATATTGTATGCGTTTTGAATGCTTAATATTTTTGTGCATCACCGTGAGTCTGTGCAACTATGGTTTGCATTTACGAGCTTAGGCCTGCATTTCAAGAGTTTTATTTTTATTTATCAAGCTTTGGACTCTGTAAGGCTTTATTTAAACATCTGTCTCTTTACCCTTGTAACGCAAGTAGCCAGAAGTCTATCTTTTGAAGGAAATGTCTCGAGTTAATCTGACGGCTGGTATCCGCTTAACGACGTTGAGGTATGGAAGACACGCGACTGCAGCCTGAGACAGTCTGGGCAGCGTCATGTTCTCTTACGATTCGTACTGTCTTCTCTGACTTCGAGAGAATTTGTAGGCAACAGGTATTACAAACTTAATACGAGAGTGATTCAAGGCGAGAATGACCGACCCACAATTGTATTGAAGGCGGTTTGTTCATGGCACACCTAATCGGT